GGATAGTCATGGAAATGATGTTCTTGAAATTGCCATGGCAGAAGAAAGAATGAGGAAAAGTAATGGCCTATATATATTAAAAACCAAACCAGGATGATAATAAAAAATAACTCTGGTGCTATGGCTACCTCTGACAAAGAGAACGAGATACCTCTTTTATTTATTTATTTATTTATTTGACAGAGTTAGACAGTGATGGAGACAGAGAGAAAGGTCTTCCTTCCGTTGGTTCACCCCCCAAAATGGCCACTACGGCCAGAGCTATGCCGATCTGAAGCCAGGAGCCAGGTACTTCCTCCTGGTCTCCCATGCAGGTGCAGTGGCACAAGCACTTGGGCCATCTTCCACTGCCTTCCCGGGCCACAGCAGAGAGCTGGACTGGAAGAGGAGCAACCAAGGCTAGAACCTGGCACCCATATGGGATGCTGGCACCTCTGGTGAAGGATTAACCAAGTAAGCCACAATGCCGGCCCCTCATCTTTTGTTTCTTTGGTATATTTAAATCAGATGAACATGGGTGTGTTGAATACAGTCATATAAAAATAATGGTAGGAGGTACTACAACTATGCAAGAGATGCAGAAAGGAGCTCAAGTGTTTTCTGGAAAGAGGTAACCCCAAATCATGTGGGTCTGAGTGGACTGAGAAGTTTTTGGATAAAAGTCAGAAAATGGGTACAAAGCCCAATCCTATTCTGCCTTGTTGTCGTGCTCTGTGGCATGTCAGTCTAGATACTATTTTTATAAATTTCATTGTATACTTTGAAGGTATAGAGCATGATGTTATAAGATACATATAGATAGTATTATGGTTACTATAATGAGGCCAGTTCACAGATCCATCATCTCATACAGTTATCCTTGTGTATGTGGGTGAGAGGGTGAGAGCAGCTAAAATCTAGTATTTCAGCAAAAATCTCAACTACAATGCACTGTTATTAACTATAGTTCTCATATTGCACATTATATCTCTAGACTTGTTCATCCCACATGATCAGCTACTTCCTGTCATTTTGGTCTAGATGTTGTCACCTCAATGAAACATGACAAGTTCAGAATGAGAAACGAGGGAGCTATTGAGGGGCTTCTGCCACTCTTCTCTGGCTTTCCTTTCATTAGCCACTCACACTTTCCTACAAAGTAGACAGGAGGTATACTCAGTGTCCAGGAGCTGTCAAACAACATGGCCCCTGTAGCCAGGGTTTGGAAACACACAAAAGAAACATTGCATTGCATGGCTCAAATTCTATCCAGAGGAAGAAAAAGTTAATGGTGTTTAAATGAGAGTACCGAGTGACCAGCACACTGATAGCTATTATGGAAGAAAACAGTTGATATTCCAAGAGTGGCGCCAGAGTGAAGTGGAAATGTTATAGGTTTTTATTATGTACTTGTCAGGCTTATTATAGGGCAGTATAATCAATTTAAAAGCTGCCTATCAATTACAAAGCTATATGCAAAAATTTTAAGGATTTGTATACACTAGCTTAAGAGGTATAGAAGGCACACAGTATACAGTGCCAAAGACCCCTTTGGGACTGTCTAAAAGAATATCATTAATTTTTACAGTGTACTTCCATTTCTGGAGTGGCGCCAGCGTTGGCTTCCTATAAAAAAATCATTTCAAGTTTAGAAGGATGCTATATGCTTGCAGCAACATCACAGGAGCAGTAGTGCACCATATGTTGCTACTTAGCAACTTAGTCTGTAAGTCCCAAAGCATGTACTGATTTGAAAATTGAACAGGAATTATAATTGTTGAGTGATGCTAAGAGGCAAGTTGTCTTGGATTACTGAACTATGCAGATGCTTGATGTTATGTAGGAAAAGGAACAAAACTATTTTTTTTCCTGCAGGATGACTAAAATCTTATTTATGATTGCCTGAAGGGGTAAATTGATGAAAATTCTCTAAAAGAATACCAGGTAATGAATTCTTGAACACATTATATTACAGTAAACAAAAGGAATGTTAAGTGTAAAATTTAGCTAAGGCCATTCAACTTCTGTAATTTGTGAAGGTTATTTCCCCCCAGAGTAAGTATTATATCTTCCATGAGCCTGATTTTTAAAACAGCACATTCTAAAAACATTTTCATACATACTATACTATTTAAAAAATAGTGTGCTTCCAGCTCACAAACATGCCATATCTTTACAAAGCACCAAAATATCTGGAGCTGTTTACTCCTTTCTTGTAAATTATCATTAGTATTTAAAACATCCTTAGGAAAGTGGGCATTTGGCATAGTGGATTAAGATGCAACTCCACTTCTGATCCAGTTCCTTGATAATGCACCTGGGAAAGCAGCAGAAGATGGCCTGAGTTCTCGGTTCCCTTCCACCCACATGGCAGACCCAGCTGGAGTCCTTGGCCCTTGGCTTCAGCCTGGCCCTGCCCTGGCCATTTTTGCCATTTGGACAAAAAAACTCTCATATCTGAAATGTAATATATTGGAATGAAATGGACATTTTGAGATTCGATGGTTATTTATAGCCCTTTCGTGGAGGAACAATGTTTTTTTCTTTCTTTCTTTCTCCTCATACCATTGTTGAACTCTTTTACTTAGAATAGGTTTAATTATATGATCATTAATTATACTGAAAATAGATCTTTGTAAAAATTAACAGTGGGAATGTGAGAGGGAGGAAGAGGAAGGGTTAGTGTGTGGGTGTGAGGGAGGATGAGGGGAAAGTCCCACTAGGTTCCTAAATCTGTACATATGAAATATGAAACTTGTATACCTTAAATAGAGTTGAAAAAAAATAAAGATGCACCTTGGGATGCCAGCATCCCATCCTGGAATGCCTAGGTTGGAATCCCAGCTATGCTCTCAGTTCTAGCATCCTGCAAACACACAGCCAGAGATGATTGTTCAAGTGTTTAGGTCCCTGTCACCCACATGGGATTTGAATTCTGGGCTCCTGGATTTGGTTTGGCCCAGCCACGGCTGTTGTGGGCATTTGGGTAATTAACTACTAAATAGGAACTCTCTCTCTCTCTCTGTGCCTTTAAAATAAATAAATAAAACATTTAAAAAATTATTAATAATTCCTGACTGAAATATTAAGAAAAATAATGTTAGTTGTTTGATTTCAGTTGGGGTATAACATTATCCATTGTACTTGAATTTAAAAATCTAGGGTGCCAAGCTGTTATGATGTATATGCTCTGAATTTCCAATCCTTTATCCAAAACTCTTTAAGACGGACATAATGATTCTCTGAAAGGGAGCAGCTGCTTTATAACAGCAATCATTTATTGAGTTTGTGTTTCTACTGTTTCAAACAAATTCAATTAGCTCTTACACTTCAAAACCCTAAAGGCACCAAAGAGATGATACCGGCTTGCTTTAATCTAATAGTAATACTAAACTTGTCAGTACAGTTTTGGGATTGATGGTTAGAAGAAAATTAATAGTAACATTTTTCATTTTTTAATCAAACAGTCCTATTCAGAATTACCTATGGATCTTGGAGGCTACTTAGTGAATGAATGCAGTTCAGCAAGAATGCTAAATGCAAGGTTCAGCCTCCCACAGGTATTCTTAAAGGAATCACAACTCAGCTGAACGAGAGGAACTATAGTCGGGATCTTTGAACTTCACGATGACCTTTTCAGTTGGACAATATAGTGCAGTTTCCAGAACGTGTGCCAGAGAAGGCAGTGATCATAACTAAATGCAAAGTTCGACCATGCAAGTCTGCCTCTGTTTCCAGTTAAGCATGAGACATTTTGTTTACGGAGTGCACTCCTGAGAGACGAGGATATTTCAAAAGGTTTGTGGAAAGATGGAATTGAAGATAAGTTTACTTGGTTACCAAAAATTGGAAATCCATGCACAATTTTTTCTACTACTCACTCTTCATGAACATTTTGAAGTTTCCTCATATGCACAGATTTCAAAAATTGTTGCAACAAAATAAACTTTTTTAATTTAATTTTCCATGAGTTTTTAAAGTATCCTCATACACACCAGATTTAATTCATTGACTACCACCAGGAAGAAAAATCCAAGTTCTCAAACCCCTACTCCTCCATTCCCCCCCTTTCCCAGTTATCAAATCTATTTGGGTAGATGCGTAGGCATTCAAAACTACTATGTTAGTTTCTGCCATAGTTAGCGGTGTATGAAATGTGAAGTCACCGTGCTTTGACTATTCTAGGAAAAATAAGTTCACGTGCACAAAGTGCTCCTGTGTACCCTCATTCCTCCTCATTTATTCACTTACTTATTTTGCTTACAGTGTTCTTACATTTTATGCTATCCTGGCACCCTAGAGCTGTTATAATTTTGCTTTAAATGCCCTCTCTGGATTAAAGGGCCTGGTCTTAAGTATCTAAAAATAAATAGTGAAGCATTTACTTTTATAAATGTAACCATTTCCATTCTCATTGGACTTTTGTTGTCACTTCCCATGATTAAATACCTTGTCAACGATTCCGGGTGAAATAGATACAAAGGTGCCCTTGAAAGCTGTCAATCATATCTTCGCTTTCGGCCTGAAAACAACAACTCCTCCACTTTCCTCTCCCCTGGAGAAGGCTCTGAAAGCAGCCTCATCGCGCCCACCGGCCATGCGATTTGGGTTAGGAACATCCCATTTTGTTGAACATGGCCCCAGCCGTTGATAATTAATGCTATTTGTGACATGTGTAGCTGATAATGATTAACTCGTCTACAGTCAGGAGCACAAACAACCTGCACCTGTAAAGACTTTATTTCCTAAAGGTAAAACAACTGTTTAGGAAAGATCATGCTGGCAAAACAGCTGCTTGCCGTTCTGGAGAGGCAACAAGGTAGAATCTCCCAACAAATGCCAACTCCGGTATTTTATCAGCTCTATCTCATTAACTGGAAACAAGGCTTAAATGCTTTGTTTATAAATTATGATTATTCCTGATTGCGGCAGTTACTGATAGTGCTACTCATTTGCAATGCAACTCTTTGAATTTGTTTAATTACAATTTGAAACAAGGCAGAGAAGATTAATTAACCCACCTGGCTGGCTGGCACATAGTCCTGGCTCGGCTCTGTCATGCTCATATACATGTTCTCACCGTCAAACTGCGAATGAAATAATAGTAAACATTCAGCAATCTTGACTGTGTGTATGTTTTGTGTTTTTTTTTTTTTTAACCACTAAACTGGAAAACAGTAGCCATAAAAAAAATACCATGTCTGAGAATATGGACAATCTGTCATAGCAAGCAAGCCACATCTTTTCTTTGATGTTTCTGTTGTCATCCTTCCTGACCCTGGATGTCAATGATTTGGAGTAATTAGTGTTCTAGTAATTACAGCAAGCAAGCAAGAAATGAATGGTTTCCTTTCATCTGCAATCTGTTTTAAAACAAAATGGCTCATTTTGCACGCCATGTATACATATTGCAGCTCGTCTGTAATGAAGTATTAAATGAATGGCATGATTTTTGAAAGAAAGGAATAATGGAAAACACAAGAAAGCACAGCTCAGTGCATTCTGAGTTTAGCTCTCCAAAGAGAAAATTCAGAGTTTTCATAAGAGACCAGAACTGGTTTCACCACAATAGCTTTATGATAAAAAAAATTTAACTTTATAATAATATTTGAAAATAGTCTGTGAAACTATAACCATGGCTAAGAATGCTAATAACAATGAATAACAATAAAAATATACAGGCACGGTGATTCAATTTTCCTTTCTGAAATGTTTCAAAGATATAGCATTAATGGAAGTATTATAAATGCATAGAAATTTATACGCAAATTTTCAAGGTAGGAACAAGACAGAAGGAGGAAATTCACAGGGACAGCACAATTGCAGGCCTATCAAATAGTTCAAGTCAAACAACAATAACAACAAAACACATTTCGTTATTTGGGTTTTTGAAAGCAGTAATCATTCCATTCAGACTTAATCCTCCTCTATCTTCAGTCACTTGGTAAGTAGGCAAAATATTCCTTTTTAGTTAGCGTAAGAATTTTCTCAAAGTAATAATCAAATGGACAAATACAACCAACTTTAAAGAACTGGGTCTGAATATACTTTCACAGGCAAAATAATGTCAGATGTAGAAACCCGAAAGTCTGAAAAATTACTTTTGAAAACTAAATAGTGCTATTGATAGAGGAGCGAGTGAACAGTATCAGAGACATTATTTATATACCATCGAAACAAAAAAAAATGTTGCGTTATGTCAAAACAAAAAAATGTGTGATGGACATCACATTCTACCACCAGTAAGCTGCTAGCACAAGAGAGGGATACAAGAATAAATACTAGGGATGCACCAAGGCCTCTAAACTGTAGCAACAGTAGCAGAGGACCTAACAATACACATAAACATAAGCTAAAAAGTAGAGACCTCGCTAGAGACAACGAAGCACTCACAAAGTTAAACTCAAATGATCAAAGACGTTCCTCACACATCACCCTGTAAATCCATTTCATGTAATGGGAGTAACTCATCTAAACAGATATAAAGTTGCTTATTCAATGGTGTTATTGCTGGAATCAATCAGAAATAACACAACTAGAGAAGAAGAGATGGATATTTTGGGTGTTGTCAACTGGATCAGAAGCTCCAAGCCCAATGACTTACCCAAGTTAGTTTTTCCATCAGTCAGGTGGGCTTCAACCAAAATGCAGTGCAGTCCCAATCTACTTGCCTGCTATTCCTGACAACTCAAGACCTGACAAAGAGCATCCTCCAACATTTCTCTATCCTCACCCACTGTTGGAGTGCACTGGTTTGTTTGCAAATGTTTTTAATGCTAAGATGCCAAAGAACCATTTAAAATATGGACAGCTTCTCTGACTATAACAAACTAAACTGAACAGAAGTGGTGAAGTGAATCAAATACTCCATTGCCTATGCATAGTCTATAAATGTGTTACTTTCTATTTCATGTTCTTGAACTCATTTTCTAAATCTGGAATCATCCTCAAGCCAACCAAGGCTTTGAAGTTTCAGTTATAGTCTATCCAAAGTGTACACTGATTGAGTACATTCAACATTACTGCTTTGGATAAAGACTTTTCCCTCAAAGTCTTACCAATCTTACTAGTCTAAGTAATACTGAGTAAAGTCTGAAACAACATTTTATAACAATAGTCATGTGACTACGATTTATAGCTTTGATTTGTACATTCTATGTCTCTGCCAGCTGTATCCTTACACGAATTAACTGATTATATCCTCACAGCAGCTGAGAGTTCAGTGTTATTGTCACCTGAATTTTAGAAATGAACATACAAAGCAGCAATGAAGTTAAGCTGGATGTCCCAAGTTTCATAGCTCAAGAGAGGCAGGACTGTGATTCAAACCCAGGCAGAATGACTTTATAGAACATACACTTCGCCACCACAGCATACTGATTCACAATCAGTATGAATCCATACTGATTCATAATAATGAGTGAGCAATCGAGTCTGAAAATAATATCAATAAATTGTCAAAGTGATGGAAATATCTCAATGACATTGAGATATCTTCCAGAATTTCAAGGTATTGTGAGCTTTTCAACAACACAAAAATCACGAGGAGCTGTCAACTTAGCCTTGTAGAAAGGCTCTGGGTGCTTAAAAGACTGAGAGGGAGTAGGATGTTAAATTCTATGAGTCAATTGGGCTGGGTCACAGAAATTTGGTCAAATATTACTCTAGATGTTTCTCTGAGGGTGATTGTGGAATAGATTCACATTAAAATTGGTAAACTGAGTGAAACAGCCAGCCTTTCCCAGTGCAGGTGAGCATCATTCAACCTGCATTAAAAAAAAAAAAAAAAAAAAGCACTGACTCTAATCAAAGCAAGAGAATCCTTCTGCCTGACACAAGGGCAAGGACAGCCATCCTGTTCTGAATTGGGGCTCAACAGACAGATTGGTTCTTCTTGCATCTCAAGCCTCCCTGCTTTGAGTCCAGAGCCACACCATAACTTCAGCTTGCTGACTGCAGATTTTGGGACTTCTCAGCCTCTTAAATCATGTGATCCAATTCCTTATAATCAATTTCTTTCTCTCTCTCTCTATATATATATATAGAGGTACTTCAGAATGTTCAAGGAAAGAAGAAATAAAAATTAAATCTTTTTTGGTACAAATCATTTTGAAATGCATGCATGTGCAGGATCATGACAGGCTCATTGGGGGGCGGCATCGTGGTATAGTGGGTTAAGCTGCCATCTACAGCACTAGTATCCCACATTTAAGTTCCCACTTAAATTGGGGAACTCTGCACCTGATTCAGCTCCCTGCTAATGTACCTGGGAAAAGCATCAGGAGATGGCCCAAGTGCTTGGGCCCCTGCTACCCACATGGGAGATCTGGAAGAAGCTCGTGACTTCAACCTGGCCCAGCTCTGGCTGTTGCAGCCATTTGGGGAGTGAACCAGGGTATGGAAGATCAACCTGTCTTTCTCTGCACCTCTCTGTAACTGTGCCATTCAGATAAATAAGTGAAACTTTAAAAAAAATGGCTCATAGAAAGCATGCATTATGAAAGAGCTACATGGATTTCAAAAAGTTTTGTTTACCAAAATTAATTTATCTTTTAATTCCATTTCCCATAAATGTTGGAACCACTTCTTTTGATTTCACTTCTCCAAAGAATCCTGACACAAATGACTTCCATTATTGCTGTTCAGGGTAGTCAGAACTCCTCTCGAAGCATATTGCTAAATGGCTTCCAATGTCAGAACACCATTGTTTCATGCTAACGCCTGGCTTCTAGGATGGTGGAGCCATGTTGGTTCTGCTTAAGAGTCTTCGGGCTTATTTTCCACCATGGTCACATCCTGTGCTACAGTGAATCCCCCACACAGTCATACCCCTTTGTCAAGACACTTTCCTTCCTGTTTACTTGCTGAGATGTTTCCCAGACCCCTCGGCTCCCCTCAGCTCCCCTCAGCTCCCCTCAGCTCCCCTCAGCAAGGGCTGGGCAGTCTCCAACCTCTGAGCTCCCCAGACAACTCCTGTGCTTGTGCAGGTTGTTGGCAGGGGATTCACGGGGATTCATAACAGTGACCATCCTGGCTCTCGTGAGTACCTTTGAAGTTTAGGGTCAGCACATAATAAGTCCTCAGGAAATGTTTATTTTCTGAGTTTTAAAAATCAAATCCTATTTGCCCAGTTAAATAGATTATTTTCCTAGAGAAGGCATTGATTTAGAAAGAGGACAAAGACTCAATCTTACAGAGAATGGCCGGATGACTTTTGCAGGGAGTTGAACCAGAGTCCTATGGTGAGTTAAAGTGAGTTGATATAGAAACAAGCCCTCAGAGAGAGAAATAAAGAACAGAAATGACCAGGACATCATTACTCATATGTTAGATCTAGTTCTGCCAGATTTTTATTTTATAGATTTTATTTAATATAAAATGTGCAGATTGGCCAGGAATCCAGGGACTTGGATATAAAAATGTGAATGTTCTTTTTCTGAAGAATCTTGGATTGGCAAACGAAAGTATGTACATGTCAGAAGAAGAGTCACCATTCCCTTGTGGTAGAAGGATTGCAGTTGGGCAAACTCTTGAGCCCAGGGAAGAAGAGTAAGCCAAGAACCCAGTATGGGCTCCTGGTATCAGGTTAATGGCATCACTGTGTTTTCACAGTTTGCCCAACCACAACCTGCCCTGGAACTAGTGCCAGGGATTTCAACAGGCCTCCTGCTGACTCAGAAATCTCAGAATGCATCCCATGTCCTGGCTCATGACTAGCTATTATATGAACTAGAACTATAGCTCATAGAGGCTAGGATTCTGGTTTTGGGAAAATCCCTGAAGATATCATATCTGAATCTCTCGTGGCAAGTTTGGAGAAACTGACTTTTTATTGGTCTGACGGTCCATCTGGAAATAAAAACAAGGTCTGGATTCCTAATAGAGGAGTTTTCCGCTATCACACACTGCTTTATACTCCATCATCATAAAAAATGGGATCAGACTCAAGGGCTACAGTTGCTTCTCAAATTATGAAGGGTTACACCCCAATAAACCCATTGAAAGTTGAAAATATCCTAAGTGTAAATAGAATTCATTGACCCCACCTAACCCATCACACATCCTAACTCAACACACAGCACACTGT